GGAAACACGCTACTTTGACATCTCAGGATGCTCTCTGGAAGCATTAGCAATGTCATCAGCGATGGTTAGAAAAGCAGAATTTTTGGGAAGCAGTAGAGAAGAAAACAGAAAGCTTCATTATACTACTCTGTGTCCCCATGGTGAATATGCATCAATTGAACTTTGCAGTTCTGGTCATTCCATCTCATAAAGGCTACATCAGAAGAGGTGGAGAGATGAGTGACAGTGGTGTCTCTTATGGGGTGGCTTCCATGCGGGAAGTCAGCAAATGAATGAGGACTCTGAGGTTAAGAAAAAAGACTGAGGCAAGATGTGGTGGAGGTCTATAAAACTCTAAATAATGTAGACTAGGCAGAGGAAGGAAAACTTACTTTGCCATTTCTCCTAACAAGAAGTACGTGAAACCCAGAGAAATTGTAAAAGCCAGTGAGTGGGGTTTTTTCCATGCAGAACATAGGAGGAAAGAAAAGGGCCAAAAGCAAGTACTACTCTGCTTGTTGAGTCCTACTCTCTTTTCTTACACGTTTTCCACTAGTTGTTATCAGAGACAGGGTTTTGGGCTAGACAAACACATGATTTTGTGTGACTGTTCTTGCATTCTAATGAAATGAGGAATTTTATGTAAATATAATGCTGACTAAGGAATGTGATCATGGTGTCCAGAGTTGGTGTATTTTTTGTCATATTCATAAAAAAAATTTAAAATCTCATGGAGTTGCTCTTTTCCCATATGAATCTCCTTGGATCAGGAGGAAAGAAAATGAGCTTATTGGTAAGTGCTTGTAATAATTCCTCTCTAAATGCTCATAAAATGAAGGGTGAGTTGAAATTTCCATAGCAAACTTAATATTTGCGCAACAGCAACTTTATCTTCCATGTCGTCTTAGGACATTTGAGTACTTAGTTTGACTACAGTGAAATGTGAAATTTTTGTGTGCATGGGTGTGTTTGTATACATGTGTATGAATCAGACTTGGAGAAGTACAAGTAGTTGAGTAATTTGCATCTGAACTAAAACATACAAATGACAGTCTGCTGCAAAGGAAGAGATTCTGCTGAGTATAAAGTTTGCATTCAAAAACCAGTGTTTCGTTTCAGTGGCCTAACTATATATCACTGAGTAGTACAGTATATCCTTTTACAATGTTTGAGGTTTTCCTAAATATTTATCTCTTTCTTTTAGAGAAAAGTGAAGCCTATGATGTGATGTTGAGGCAAAATCTTGTGCCTGATGGGCAGCCTCTTGCTATTAGATGTTCACTGGAAAGGAGCTTGAGGAGTGGAGACTACAACTTAACGTGGTATAAAGTCGGTAACCAGACAGCTGTGCCTAGAGACAAACTTTCTAGAATCCATCAGCAGAAGAATTTAATTTGGTTTCTTCCGGCAATGTTAGAAGATTCTGGAGATTATGAATGTGTCATAAGGTGAAAGTTAAAATAAATAAATTACATTGTTACAGAAGTGTTTGGCAAAGGGAATAACTTTTACAAAGCAAGTAGAATTTGGGGGTTAAGATAAATGCTAATGCAGAAGGGAGAGTGTGTTCACAAAAACTAAGTTTAGGTTGGGGAAAGTAAGTCTAGTTTTGGGTTCTTTTTCCTAGTATGCAAAAGTAAATGTCTGGGAGAAACCATAAACTTCTCATTCTCCCTTTCATCTTCAGAAAGAATACCATATGTTTCTGGGTTGGAAAATATGCCAAGTAGGCTAATTTAATTATGTTATGTTAATTGCAGGAATTTGACAAGCTGCAGGAAAATGTGTACAAAAGTAACAGTTTTTGAGAGGATTGATGGTTTATGCTTAAATGAAAAATTTGCTGTAGAGGAAGTGATATTCACATTACCATCTGCGAAGGTTGTGTGTCCACACTTGGATTATTTCAGGAATGAGAAGAATATTCAGCCTGTTCGTTGGTATAAGGTGAGAACGCTGTGTTCTGTACTGCTTTTTAAGTGTCCATTGTTTAAAAAATAAGTCACAGATGTTCCTGAATTTTAGGAGAAGAACTAAAGATTTATTGTAGATGGGAGAAAAAGGCTTTAAAAGATAAGTTTTATTGCAATTTGTTTTAAAAGGTGTACAGGTTTTTTGATTAATGGGGTAGAAATTCAGCTTAGATGTAGGAGACCCATTGACCCTCATGTCCACCAGGTGGCATCTCTGTACCTGCTGGCGAAACACGCTGCGTGGATTTCTCTAATGCGGAACCAGATTTAGTATGTCATTTCTGCCTCATGCCCATGCTGTCCATATGGGGCCAAGGGTATCTAAGTACTTAAAAAGTAAGTCTGATTATTGAGTGATTCGTCATTAATGAATACTTAGACAAATCCTGACACTGGCATTTCACTTTCTTGTTTCTCTAATATTGAAAGTTGTTTTCAGAATTGGAGTTCTCAAAGTTTGGGTTGCATTAAAGAGAGACAGACCATGGAGTGGGATAGTGATGTGAATTAACAGAGTTCTCTGCACACGTTTAGGACTGCCAGCTGCTGGAAGGGGAAAGGTTTGCCTTCTCAAACAGTGATCTTGTCATTTTCAATGTGACCGTAGATGACCAGGGAAACTATACGTGCGAAACAATGTACACCCACAATGGAAAACAATATAACATTTCACGAGACATCGCTCTGACTGTAGAAGGTAAGTAGATAATTTCATTGTGTTCATGACTCAAAAGTTTTGTCCAAGTTTCTAAAGACTGAAGCTAAAAGACCCAATTTATGGGTGGACATGCTTAGGACTTCTGGTTTTCACCTCAATATGAAGGAAGGAAGTGCTGCCTGAGAGTTTATATATTTTTGTATGTTGTTGCCACTGTGGTGAAGATTCGTTCTTCTGTTCGAGGCTGCAGTATGTCAAAGCTTTGCTGCTCAGACCAGCTGCCAAAGTCCCTAAACAGGTGCTTGGGAAGACTTGCTAGGCATGCTTTCTGCTGTAGCTGCACTCTCTATCCTGCCCGTCTTATTTCTCTCTCTTTTACATTATCTTCTTGATGCAAGAACAGCAAACTGAACTGACCCAGATTATAGCAGTATCTATAGCAGACTATGTGTGTCCTGTCTGTCTCCTTTATTCCTTCTGTTTTTGGTTTTAAGCTTCTCAGCACAAGAAGTGCTGTCTCTGGTATCTTGTGTCTTGCTCAGTAGACCCTGATTTATGTCGGGGGTCCACTAGCACAAAAAAAAATAAAAAAGAAGGCCTAGGTATAAAACATGAGCTCCTTTGCTAGCACAGCATTATGAGAGTGATACTGGATCCCTGAAAAGGCCGTGCTATGTCAGGGTATGAAATGCCAGTACT